AGTCATTTACTTGCAAAGATACATGAAAACTTGATGTCATTTACTTGAAAAGATATATGCTCCCCTATGTTCCTTGCAGCATTATTCATGGTGGAAACAACCAAGTGTCCTGCGATAGAGGACTGCATAAAGAAAACGTGGTACATATGTGCAGTGGAATACTACTCAGCCGTAAGAAAGGCTGAAATAGCGCCATTTGTAACAACATGGATGGATCTTGAGAACATTATGCTAGGTCAGTGGTTGGCACACTGCGGCTCGTGAGCCACATGCGGCTCTTTGGCCCCTTGAGTATGGCTCTTTCACAAAATACCGACTTCTGCGCATGGGCCACGAAGTTTCAATCGCACTGTACATGTGCGCCCCGCACATGGTATTTTGTGGAAGAGCCACACTCAAGGGGCCAAAGAGCCGCATGTGGCTCGCGAGCCACAGTTTGCCGACCACAGTGCTAGGTGAAACAAGTCAGACAGGAAAAGCTAAGAATATATGATTTCACTCATATGTGGGATATAAAACTGAAGCTCGTGAACATAAGCAGCAGTGTGGTGGTCACCAGAGGGAAGGGGGTCGGGGGAGAAGGGGAGCCTAATATATGGTGATGAGAAGATTTGACTTTGGGTGGTGGGCACGATGCAATATACAGAACTTGTAACATAGAAACCCACGTCTGAAACCTATATGTTCATGTTGGCCAATGTTACCCCAATAAATTTAATAAATAAATTTTTAAAAAAGAAAGGGAAATGTGCTTAGATACAGTGCCTAGAGAGGACGACCAGAGATATTGTTGCATCCTTCTTCCAGTCCACTTTGCAGAAGTCGCAGGTGAATTGCTGTCTGATAAGCAGTGAATTGTGTTTTCCTGGCTGGAGAACACCAGACTACAGAGTAATGTCTGTTGATTCGAGCAGAGCAGAGATGCGTGCTGTCTGTGCAGGAGCTTCTGTTCTTTAAGCAGGAGAAACATTGACTCTTCTGTTGGAGGTTGGGACAAACCCACATCACCTCTTTCAGAAATTCAGAAATTGACAAAAGTTGATTCTCTAAACATAGACTTGTCCCTTCTAAAAGCTGGTTCTAACTCAGGGATCTTTGAAGTTGAATGTTGATGAAAATCAATCAAATTTGTCAGTCAGTTGTAGAACCACTGTGATCAATAACTACATTACCAGTAATGTGAACACTATTCTCCTTAGAAGTATTGCCCAGATTCCAAATGCTGCCTGTCATGTTTAAACCCCCCTCCCTTTTTTTTGTGCCGTCCCCGATCCTACATAAAAATAATCACACATTATTTTTCTTGACTGGAAAAGCATTGCAAATGTTTTTGCACAAGTTCTGGAGCTTTAGATATTTTTCTACCAGAGATGTTAAGAAATTTTAAAGCCCTTTTTTTTTCTAATTACAGAAGTAAGACATCTTGTATCCTGTGCTAATATGTGTTCACTTACCTTATGTTTTAAAATTGATTTTTACAGAGAGAGGAAGGGAGAGAGAGAGAGAGAGAGAGAGAAACATCGATCGGTTGTCTCCCAACCTAGGTATGTGCCCTAACGGGGAATTGGTATATAAGACTATGTTCTAACCCAACTGAGTCACCCAGCCATGGGTTAGTTACCTTATTTTAATGTTTTGCAAACACACTTCATAAATATTTTTTGCTTGCTGTTTAATTTAATTAATTGGCTAATTAATTAATGTTTGCTTCCCCTTCTACCATGTAACCTCGATAACAACAGGGATCTTTTTGTCAAGTTCTTCACTTAATTTAGAGCCTGAAGCAAAGTCTATTAGAACATAGATAACATTCAGTAAATACTGATGAATGAATACATGAATGAATGTGCACACTTCAGAATTAATAGACAAATAAAAGGAAGAAAATAAACATTTGAAAGATGTATATACAAGCATCCTTGCATTTGCAGGACTGTAAAACTGACTATGCATGCTGAAGGTATGCAAAACAATCCTAATAATCAATGAGAAGAGTTACTATTGTTCTTTGACTTTTAAAAAATTTTGCCAAATCATTAAGCTCTGTCTTGCTTTTGGCTATAAAGGCATAGGGAAATAAAAAAAGTAGTAAAACTAATATTTATTTAGTACATGCTAATTTTTAGAAACTTTAAGATGAAAGGGGGTGATTCCTTTGTAAAATCACATCAGAAGTAGTTTGAATAGTACTTGCTTTCTTGATATTGTACAACTAACGAAATGGAATGAGCATCTTTTCTATGCCCAAATTGTCATAATCCTTCCTAAATTGAATCAGCTTCCAGCATTTTATCCTCTGCGCTTTCCATGTCAAGAAATGTCTGTGAGGGTTTCTTTAATGTGAAGTGGTTTTTTGTTTGTTTGTTTTTTGCCAGCACCACTTCCTCTGGGACACTGTTGTCATTTTGTTACAACCACTTTCCTGTTTATGTTGACCAGTATGCCTTCACTGAGTGCCTCCACTAGAAAACTAGTCTCTCAAATGGTCAGTGGCAGCATTGTCTGTCTACGTGCCCATGACCAGCGAGATCGTCTATGCCTCCATTTACATTTGACTACAGATTTCACTTCCGGTGTTATCACGTTTTGTTTCTGTGCAGTTCTTTCATCTTTGTTGGCCAACTCTCTCTTTTGAATATCCATGTTGTATGAATTTATCACAGGGAGATAAGAAGGCAACACAACCACACAGTATGCTTTCGGTACATGAACTGGATAACAAATGTGTAGTAACCAATCACTGACAGACTTTGAAAGATGCACTATGATTGGTCACTGATCAAGATGCACATATGTTATTTACATAGTCATTAATTGTGGACTAAAGAGGTAGCAGTGAAGTTTGTACTTTATGTAATTGCTCACAGTTCATATACCATGCTAACTAAAATTTGTACTGTTAGGGGAAATTTAACTAAACTGAAATTTCACACACATTGGAACCAAGCAAAGTGAGGACTCCCTTAATTCCAGGCTATTTTATGTACAGATGTGTATTTTTTTCTTCACTAAAGTGGAATCACTTTATGTATATGAATTGACAATTTTATTTGTTTATTTAATATTATGCATATACATAAAAAACCAATAATCTTAACTTCATGTTTTATGACTATATGGTATTTTATTTTTAAATATATTTTTATTGATTTCAGAGAGGAAGGGAGAGGGAGAGAGAAATAGAAACATCATTGATGAGAGACAATCATTGATTAGCTGCCTCCTGCATGCCCCCTACTGGGGATAGAACCCACAATCTGGGCATGTGCCCTGACCAGGAATCGAACCGTGACCTTCTGGTTCATAGTTCAATACTTAACCACTGAGCATCACTGGCCGGGCAACTATGGTATTTTATTGAACAGTTGTGTTATAGTTTATTTAATCAATCTTCCTTTTTTGGACATTTTGGCTTTTCTATTTTCTTAATTATAAAATTGTGGTGATCACCTGTAGCTAAGTCTTTGAGATAACGACTGCTATTTATTTGAAATGAATGTCTTTCTAATGATCGAATTGCTGGCTCACTGGACTCATATACTTAAATTTTTTTTTTATTGATTTCAGAGAGAAAGGGAGAGGGAGAGAGAGAGATAGAAACATCAATGATTAGAGAGAATCATTGATCAGCCACCTCCTACACACCCCCTACTGGGGATTGAGCCTGAAACCCAGGCATGTGCCCTGATCAGGAATGGAACCATGACCTCCCCATTCACAGGTCAGTGCTCACCTGCTGAGCCATACCAACAGGGCTCGACACATACACTTCTAAGACATTTCCATATCATTCCAAATTTCCCTTCAGAGAGTGATGCTTCCTGTTAGGCTCCTATCAGTGATATAAATTTTCTAAATCATTGCTGATATTAGACATTATCATTCCTTTTCATTTTTGCCATTTTTATTAGGTAAAAAACATTTTAATTAGTTTTGAATACTAGTTAGGTTGAATATTTTTATGAGTTTATTTGAGTAAATACATTTTGAGCTATGAAATTTTATTCTTGTTCTCTTTATAATAGTTTCCAGATGGTATGGTGTTTTTTTTTTAGGTTATTTGAGTACATACATTTTTACACACACACGCACACAAAACAAACACACACATATATATTGGTGTACCTGAACTACATTCATATGTACATACCATTCTTAGTTTTACCTTGGGATTATAAAGAATATCTGTGGGCCTTAGGTTTGTAACATAGCCATCAGTTTCCAAATGCTATCCTTTAAAAAAAAAAGAGAGAAGAAGAAGGGGAACATAACCCATGACCTGGAGGAGATGCTAGTTAATTTTTTATTATGTTATTTTCAGGAGATGGGGTCAAAAGGAGCTAGTAGGGCATTCAATTATGTGCTTGAGTGTGTTGGAAATCCCTCCCCGCTCAGGTGTACAATATTTTACTTGGGCTTGTTTTTCAAGTGCATTGAAGTGTGACTAAATATTTTTGGTGCTCCATTATGTAAAGAAGAGGCCCATCTTGTTAAATATTCCTTCATCAACTTTGTAGTTAGCCTGTAAGGACATGGGCGTTAGGCATCGGACAGAGGGAAGGTAGGTGGGAGGCGGGCACCTGGGCGAAACTGAGGATAGGGGTGCTCCGTTGTCTCCTCCCACTGTTGTAGAAAAGTGATTGGACCAAGCTTGTTTCTCTCTAACCATTTTGGATGGTTCATAAATGGGGAAGGAGAGAAAGTCATGAGGTTGGACCTCAGCTCATCTGAGGGCTAAAGGTTCTTTGTCACACACCACACAGAACTGGAGCGCTGTCCTTCCGGAGAGTAGTGGAGAGCGGAGATACAGTTTAGAACCAAAGGAAGAGAGAAGAGCTTTGGTTTCTTTTTGTCTCGAGGTTGAGGATAAGCAAGGAAGATGTCCACTGAAGATGTGGAAGGGAAGCCCAGCAGATTTGGGGACGGAGGAAGAGCTCAGAGCTACACGTTCCTCAGGGTGGTGCAGCCAGTGTTTAACCGCAGTATTTTCACTTCTGCAGTCTCTCCCGCCGCAGAGCGAATCCGATTCATCTTGGGCGAGGAGGATGACAGCCCAGCACCCCCTCAGCTCTTCACCGAACTGGATGAGCTGCTGTCCGTGGATGGGCAGGAGATGGAATGGAAGGAGACGGCGAGGTGAGGCACGGTGGATGTTGCAGTACTGACCTGGGGGAACAAGGGTGGGCAAGAGAGTTGAGTGTGAATGAGCACCTTTCTCTAACCTCAGCACTTTGAATAACCGATGAGCATGATGTTGGCTGGGTTAGGGAATTAAACAATTTTTCTCTTCTCTTTCTCATTGACGTGATGCTGGACACCCTTTATTGTACTGCTAGAGCATCGTTTCACTGATCCGTGTTGCTATAATTTTAACCCTTACGAGGAATTAATAGTAAATCTCCATCCATATACTACTTATTAGTGAAATATTTTAAAGATAAACTCAAGTACCCAAACATGATAGTGTAAGAGATATGTGCCCTCACTCTCCGCATGTCAAAATACCTTGTGAGATGATGTTTGATTTATTACCCGTTCCCTGTTAGGGAGGGAGGTTGCAAAGGCAGTAACTGGTACCAACAAACTTGCTATTATTCCAAGTAAAAACCTCTCATCTTTTTAAATATCCAGTGAAAGTAAGTAGAAGGTTCACCCGAACTTAGAGTTTAGAGACCTGAGTTCTATTTCAGACTCTGTAGCCTGTTAGCTCAAAACAGTTTCTCAGAACTTTGATTTCATTATCAATAGAGTAGATAATAATGCCTATTCCATATAACATGTATTCTATATAAGATATGTAACATATGTAAATATAATATTATACAATATATGTCTGCTTATTTTATATAAACACACATGTATGTATATAATGAAATTCTTTGTAAATTGTTAAAGCACTGCATACATATCCAAGTTTTTGTTAATTTCATGGTAGCAGAGCTTTTCTTTCTTTCATATATAGATTTAGTTATATATTCCACTCTAAATCTTTGATGACATATAACATTTACATAAGATAAAGACTGATATAATGCAGTTGTTGGTCTCTCATTGCCATCATTACACAGAGAGTCAGTATATTTCACTTTCTTAAACAGAATTATGTTAAGATATGCCTTTTATAGTCTGTAATTTAATTAAAACCAATTAAATTTAACCAGTGTGTTTTGAATGCCCAGTATAGGTCAGGTACTATTTTAGGTATTGGGAATGCAGAAGTAAATATTTTTATTATTTGCTTTTTTAGGGCCTCTTTTCATGATATAATCATTGTCTCTTATTCCCATTCTCAGTACCAATAACCTGGATATATAAAGTCGTCCATAAAGTAGTTCATAAAACATCCTGCAAAAGGAGGCTTTTGAAGCAAAAACTTTTCTTAGTACCTGCATTTCATTCTTTCTTTACCTTCTTTCTGACAGAAAAAGAATGAGAGTTGTACTGTGCAATCTGAATTAAGTGTTGGGGAGATTTTGGTTTAGCCTTGGCTCTGTGTTAACTAGCTGTTTAACTTCGGGCGAGTCATGTAGTCATGTCATCTTCCTGAGTTTGAGTTTTCTATTCTATCAAATGAGGGTCATATTGGGTTACATCCTCTCTAACATCATGCAATTTTAGAGCTCTAAAATTCCATCCATGCTGTATATTGGTGTAGTCAGCTGTGATTAGAAGACATATTTGACTCTTATTTTTATCTTAAAATTCTGTGAGAGTACTTTATATAGATTAGAATTCAGGTATAGCACCCTGTTTTTCTTTCAGTCAAGTGAAGACTACACTTTATTTTCTATGACCCCTGGTCCCAGAAATGTGGAGAGATCACAGTTCACTTATAGGTAATAAAATGTTGAGAGAGGTGGACATCGTATTTTCCTTTAAGGTTGTTAAAGATTAAGATGGACTTGATACTGTATTATCTATAAAGACTTTATTTTCTTGGAAGCATATGTGTCATTTTGATGATGCCCTTGGTTCCTGGGAGATTGGACTTCTGGAGAAGGGGTGGGAGTATGCCAGGTGTCAGAGGGAAGCTGTCCAGGAAGAAACATACTTACACGTAATCAACACCCTATGACTTCTATATAGGACTTGCCACAGTTACTGTTAACTATTAATTAATCATATATGTGACATTATTGTTTTGGTTTTATCTCCCTCATTACACTAATTCATATGAAGGCAGGGATCACCATGTCTGTGTTTTACTACTGTATTCCCAGTTCCTTGCTATACATAATAGGTCAGTAATATTTGTTGAGTGTGATTAGTTGAGAACTGATTGCTTTATAAACAACTGTTCTACATATACTTTCTTAGAAGTCTTACTGGATCAAAATTGGAGTTCTGTGATAATCCATCCCTGATTGATAGATAGCTGACTGATAGACCCAGGGTACCAAGCACATCATTGAGAAAGCCCAGAAGAGGACTTGTGTTTGATGTTTCAAACTAATTCATCAATATACTGATGACATCTGCTTTTAGTTCTCTAGCCCATACTTCTTGCCTCATTTGACTGAAAACAAATGGTTGGCCCAGCTGGTGTGGGTCAGTGGTTGAGTGTCAATCTATGAACCAGTCATGGTTCTATTTCTGGTCAGGGCCCATGCCTGGGTTGTGGGCTTGATCCCCACTGTGGTGTGTGCGGGGGCAGCCGATCAATGATTCTTATCATTGATGTTTTTATCTCTCTCTCCCTCTCCCTTCCACTCTGAAATCAATAAAAATATATTTAAAAACACACACACACAAATGGTTGGATGGCTAATGAGCATCTCAAAATAACATGTCTAGAATGAAGCTTCTGATTCATTTACTTCAGATAAGCTCCTCCTACAGAGTTCCTCACTACAATGAAAAACTCCATTTTTGTAGCTGCTCAAGCCAGAAGCATAGTAGTCTTCCTTGACTCCTGTCTTTCTCTATACCCCTCACTTAATCCTTTGGAAAATCCTATCTATTTATCCTCAAAGATATTCAGATATTCAGAATCTCACCATATCTTATATTCAGTATTGCCATAACCTGGTCCAAGCCACCATTATCTTGCAAATGCTTCTTAGCTAGTCCACCTCCCTGCACTTGTCCCGCTCTTACCTCCCTCATGAATCATCCACCATGATCTCTTTGACCTCGTCTGCTTCTTCTGTTCCTCTTGTTCGATCTGCTTGCACCTCACTGGCCAGTCATGCTTCTGTGTCAGGGATTTTGCATTTGCTGTTCCCTCTGTTGGAAATGCTCTCCCAGCCACATCCCCACGGTTATCTACATGTGGCTCATTTTCTCACCTCCTTCAGGTCATTATTCAGATCTGACCTTCTCAGTGACTGCCCTTTCTAAAGTGGAAACATCCCCCCAACTCTCTATCCCCCGTTCTCCATAATTTTTATCTTTAGCACTTACCAGCATTTAGCATTTTACATCTATTGTTATTTTCTCTTCCTAATAAAATTAAAGCCCCCTGAAGGCAGGAATTTTTGGTTGTTTTGTTCACCACTCTGCTTCCAGTGCCTACAACTACCTGGCACACAGTCTACAATCAAGACATCTGTGCTAAGACAATGAGTGGAGAAATGGGACCTTGATTCTTAGTTTACTGCTCCACCTAAATCCTGTTGGGAAGTTTTGAGGTCATTGTGCCTCCAGAAATTATTCAGGTTTTCAGTAACTTCTACTTCCTGTATGTTTGCAATAATTTGACTGCCATTTATGATGTCCAGTTTCCAGACATGATCGGGGTTCTTTTTCCCATGAAAAGCTCTCAAATCTACCAGACCAATAAAAGTGTTGTGCTTAGAGGGAATTCACTTTATATATGAAAGTGCAGCATGGGTATTTTTGTGGCTAACTTATAAAATTAAGAAACCCCAATTGACAGATTATTTATTCCATAGAGAACTAACCTACCAGACTTCTTCAGCTTAATATAGTTTCTACTGTTCATACTCCCTACCCATTTTAATACTCTCCCTTTTAATATTCTATACTTTTTATTTGACTAATGATTTGATAGCACCAAGAATATCCTGCATTGAGTGTCAGAGTTACTGTAGTTTCAGGAAGTTCAAGTTAGCTCTGTCTTAAAAAGTAAGGAGGAGGATTTCAGTAGTAGGAAAAATATCCCCCTTTAAGTTGTGGGATTCACAGTAGTCATGTAAAACTATGAACAAGGGAAGCTTTTATTTATATGAAATTTGAAGTGTAGCCAGTTCTACCACCTTCATTTTTCACATCTTTCCCCTGCTCTTCCCTTTCCTAACAGTTAGAACTTTAAATTTTTACTGGCTCTTCCAACAGAGTTCAAGTTAAAGATTGTGCAAAGGGTGGCATGATGAGACCTAAGAAGACTACATGGTCAGTGGAATGCAGAGAGCACTATGTGGTTTTTTTTTCTTCTTCTTTCAATACAAGGCTTTTATTGTATCTTTATAATATAGCAAACATCTTTATAATATCACAAACAAGTGTGACAAATCATTCGGCATCTTGGTGTTTCTATAGCTGGACAACTTAGATATTATTCATCAGCCTACAGAACTGGTCCTTTTTGGAATATAGATACTATCTAAAAAATTTCTGATATCCTTATTTTTAACTGTTGTGGCTTGCTGAATCAAAGCAGCTGAATTTGATACAAGTTCAATGTCATTTCCTTCAAGAATCAACTCATCTTTCTGGGCTTGAGATACTGAACAAGCAATGCCTAACTTCATCTGAACTCTGGGAATATATTTTCGCCCAAGAAATTTCTAATTTCAAGAAGAGAACCATCCTCCTTAATAATGATGTTGATGGGGAAGTGAGTTTACACAGACCTCATCTTGTAACGGAAGCCCAATTTAACACCCCTGATCATGTTCTGTACATGACTGCGGATAGTGTGAACTGTGGCCAATTCCTTTCTATTTCCCCACCTTTTGTCAACCCAGAGTCTCTTCTTTTTCTTTCCTAGGAGACTGATATCTACATTGATGTAGTTGAAGTCCCTCTGCAGGGTGCCTCTGGGGCCCTTCACAATAACTGTGCATCCCTTCAGGGTGATGTCCACATTTTATGGGATGTCCACAGTCTGCTTGCTGAGAATGGTATTCATCCTCACAGCAGATGTGTCAAAAAGCGAGAGCACTGTGTTTTAA